TTCTCGTAGTTGTAACAATTCCAGCTAGTAACAGTTATTTTTCAAACACCTGGCATCTTCTTTAAAAAGAAGGAAAAAAATAGCATCTGAATTAGTTTCTTGGGGTTGCTTCCCTTAACAGAATGCAAAATGCTAGACCTTTTGCACTCCTCCAGATTGAAAATGACATGAAGAATTCAGGTTCTAACTACGCATTACTGGTGACCCAGCAGGAATGCAAACTGATCAGATCAGCCAGTAAGGGATACACCTGAACAAATAAAAAATGCAACAATGTGGCATTTTGGTTTGTACTGGTATTTTGAGATTTTATGGTACCAACCACACTTCACAAAGATTTTGCACGTCACAAAAGAAGTCTCAAGAATCTCAAAACAGATGCATCTCTCCTGTGAAACACAAGATGTGTGTTATGCTTGTGTCTAAGGAAAATTTTGTCTCCTGCCTGAGCTTGCCCAATATGCAGGAACCAATTTCAGCTGTGATTTCCAAAAATGTTTTATTGGAATAGCAAAAAAACATGAGGGAGAAGCAGATCATCTTGCAGAATTCTGGAATTGACTACTTTGCCAAATGCTTGCTGTGCTCTTAGAAAGTGGTGTTAGATTCATCCCTTTGAGAACTTCCTTGTGTTTCCAGGCACACACCTATTTTTGCTTTAGAGCTTGGATCATATCAGATGATTAGTCCTACAAGAGGACACATGTGAACAAACCAATCTTAAACCCAGAGTTAGCCGATATGCAGCACGTCACTCACTTGCTGAAATACCAAAAACTCAGTTTAAAAGTCTGTTCTACATCAACTTGATATTTTCCACTTACAAAGAATATACAACCACGATGACATTAATATAAAGGTTTTCTCAGGGACTGTTAAGCACTATTCTTTTGTTTCCAAACAACTAGTACAATTCCATTTCCTCCTCATCTCTTTTCATAACAATAATTTTTCATAGTCACAGCTTTGTTTACATAATCTTCAAAACATATTATGTTTTACAAGATGGTATTTTTTGCCATAGAGTCACTAATTTCTATGGCATCACACAGTGCAATGAAAAAAAACTCCACTAGTTGACAAAGAACTCGCAAATACATTTAGCTGTACTAAAAAAATCTTTATTTATCCAGTTTGCACCTCTTGCTTTCCTACAGAGATCAATCACCAGACCTGAGATCTGTGAACCACAGGCTAAATCTGCTGTAGGCCATAGCATATTTTTCATTTCTGACAATACGTTGGCATTTCTATGTAATAAATTCCCAAGCTCTGCAAAGATCTAGGAACACTGTAGAGGTCTTGGCTTGTCATACTCTCTTGTGAAATGCCACCCAGGAAATTTAAAAACAAACCAAAAAATACAGCACAAAAAATTCTGTTGCAAGCCAGTAAGAAGTCCTTTACAACTCATTGTTTACATAAGGGGATGTATTCAGCAGTTCTTCTGGACTTCACTTCTAGTAATAAAACTGGATTCACTAATTCATGCTCCATTAAGGCCCATATTTTAATAAGAACACTGAAAAACTGGTTCTGAAATTCATTAATGTAACTATAACAATACAAAAAGGTAATTCTGCCACTTGCCCTTCCTCACGTTTTGATAATTAAATAAAAAGTTAATACAGAACTTCTGTTCCAAGACAGAATATCTTTTTCACTGACACGTAATACAAACACCTTATCTCTCCCCTAGCTGGAGCCAATATCTCATTCCAAGGAACAGTGCAGTGCGTAACAAGAAGAACTAGCATCGAAAAATTCAGACTTCCAATGAGAGCTGCAGGGATCTGTCTTCAGAAAAACTACAATTCTGCACCCAAACTACAGGGGCCTTTACTAATTTTTGTAAAACACCACCATAAAAAAAGAAAAAAAAGTCTCCCATCTTTACCTACCACTGTTATGTTTACTAGGCAGGGCTACTTTACCTTTCAGAAGCTGACAAAAATGTAATTGATATACTGAAGGCAAACATTACAAATTCAGAGACAATTTTGTAACAGATTACTCTGACAACACCTGGTTGGAGGAGGGGAATAGATATATAATTACTGTTCAGTATTATCTACACTTTATTACTGTTCTACTTGAAAAATAACTTTATTTTTTATTCAGGCATAAAAGGTAAACACTAGCTGCAAAAACTGACATGAATGTCTACCTTAACTCTCTAACCTTGTAAGGTTTAAGAAGCTTACTGTAAAATCCAATCAGTACAGGCAGTATTTTACAAGCTAGCAGATTTTAAGCTAAGCAAGGACAACGGGTTTTTTTTTACTTGATGTGCCATGCAGTGCTTCTGCAGTTTAAGTGAGGACAGATTTTAACACATAAACTCAGTTTTGCTTTTGTACTAGAAAACTTATCATTCTGACATCAGTTGACAGCAACAGTAACCACCAATTTGGTACAAAAAATTATTTAATCACCACTACAATCCAACACATAAGACTACATTAAACACCACTGAAGGCTCACTCACAGATGTGCTAAATAACTCTAAGATCTAATAATATGAGAAAAATCATAAGTAAGAGCAACAGCAAGCAGTAAGAAACATGGATGTTCAGGTTACTACTCTTTTTTAAAGTGCATGAACACAGCTAAGCAAGATTTACAAATCATTATTTCTTTTTCCACTCCACGTTCCTCAGAAGTATATATATTCATTCCTCTCTCCTTTATACTACCCTTCCCAATGTAACTAGGTCAAGGCACAATTCCAGTGCACCTGATAATGAGCCCTTGCTTGCCCCTTCAACTTTCAGCCTCTGGCTCTCACCCTACAGAACGGCAAGAATAACGAGTGTTGACAGCCATTCAAGAGTCTATACCCCCAAGGAGGGCAGCAAACACTGCAGAGGGACAGATTGTTTCAGAGGCACCTCATATTTATACTGCCAAAAACCTGAAAGCCATTTACCAATGGCTTCAGCTGAAAAGGCAGCAAAACAACTCAAGAGATGAAAACTGTGAAAAAATTTTGAATAGGCAATAGACAGCAAGAAAAGCAAACTAAGAAAATAAAACTACTTTTACAGAAAACTTTTGCATTTTTGTAGAGGTCTAAGTACAGAAGAGGATACGGACAAGTTTCAAGTCACAGTCCAAAATTCCCGTTAAATAAGCTAATGTTATAAAAAGTAGCAGAAATAGTTATGATTATTTCATTTCAGCAATAGCCAGGAGCCACAGGATTGTGCACTCCAGAACCACTTTGAACAGTATTTCTGGATCTTGATACACTTATCCAACAAGCATACCAAAAGGACACCTAATTACTCTGTTTGGTTACTATTACCACAAAGTAGCAAAAGCTGGCCCAAAAAACACAGAATTACCAGGGGGTTAAAGGGGGTGATTATCCCCCTGTACTCAGCACTGGTGTGGCCTTACCTGGACTACAGTGAACACAATTGGAAAACTATGTGAAAGTCTTCAAATACAAAGGAGGGCAACAAAGCTGTTGGCATGTCCTGTGAGGAGCAGCTGAAGACCTTGGCTTGTCTCCATGGGAGAATAGGAGGCTGAGGGGCAAACTCATTGCCCTCTTTCTACAGGCTCCTGAGTGGGGGAAGTGGAGAGGGAGGTGCTGATCTTTTGTGCCTGGATCCAGTGATAGGATGAAGAGGGATGGTTCAAAGCTGTGTCAGGAAGGGTTCAAACTGGACATAAGAAAGCATTTCTTTACTGAGGTCAATGTCCCGCCAGTCAAATGTTTAAGAGGCATTTGGCCAGTGTCCTTAATAACACACCAAGATCTGGTCAAACCTGAAGTCATCAGCGACTTGACTAGATGATTGTCATAGGTCCCTTTGAAATAAATTATCCTGTTCTATTCTAAATCACAGGCTACCCACTTTAACCTTTTCCATCTTAGACGTACATGAAACCATAATCCAGGACAACCACTAATGTAAACAGTAAAACAGAAATATCCTCAACATGCCACTGGAAATAACTTTGCATATGTTGCTTTGTGCTTTAGCAAGTAGCACTAAACTTTAGGTTTGGTGAAAGACTTTCCAAGTAGTTATGGAAAAAAGTCAGCATTGACTAATAAGTGAATCACGTCAACAAAACAATCAAACAAACAAACGGAAAAGCCTCAAAACAAAACAAAGACTTCCTACAATGCAGCCTCACCTCTAGGCTAGCAAATAAGCTTGCAGCAGGTATTTGAAAAGCACGACTCGTTGAAACACGTTGTTCCAAAATGGATACTGTGTGCCCAACGACTGGGACTCCGTAGAAAACACAAGTACCCGAGTTCAAGCCTCATGTGCGGGTCATTTACCCTACCTTAACTCCACTTTTTCATCTTGCCTCCCTTACTGAAGGGGCGCACAGTGCCATTAACAGCCCCAGCACTACGGGAGGGCACCAGGCCTCCGGGCGAGGCCGGTCCCGGGGCAGGCGGGGAAGCCGCCGCCGATCCCGAGGGACCTCGGGGGCGGCCCCGGGATAGGGGCGCCGGCCCGCCCCGCAGAGCCAGCGGGACGGGCCGGGAGCTCCTCTCCAGGGCGAGCCAGCGCCAGGCCCCGAGCGCACCGGGAGCGGCACAGCCCCCTGCCCGCCACGGACGGGCTCCGAGCGGAGCTGGGGCGGGGACGCCCCCCCGCCCCGCACGCCTCCAACACGGGGCACTGCCCACCCCGCCCCGCCGCTCGGAGTTACCCCCGGAGGCGGAGGCGGCGGTGCGGCCGAGCTCGGCCCCACTTACCAGCCCGACTCGGAGAGCGCCGCCCGCGCCCGGTCGGCCATGGCGCCTCCCCCGCCGCTCGCCCGCAGCACTCGAGGCCGGCGGGCGCTGCGGAGACCCCCGGCACTCGCTCGGAGGGGAAGGAGGGACGCGGGGCCCGCTCGTTCCCCCGCCCCGCGGGCCTCTCCGGGCGCTCGGGCCGGCCAGGGGGAGGGAGGGAAGGGGGGAGGGAGGGAGCGGAGGGAAGGAAGGGGCGGAGGCGGCGCAGGCAGAGACGAACAAAGCCCGCGACCGGCGGCTGCCTGGAAGCTGCTGCCGCCATGGCGGGGAAGGGAAGGAGTGAGGGCAGCGCAGCCGGGGGGCGCCGGCCCCGCTCCTGCGGCTCGGCCCCTGCCGCCGTGTAGTGTCGGGGAAGGCTTTGTTTAAACGCGTTTCGTCTATGAATAGTATTACTGACAGCAGCGTTGTTCTGGAAAAGGCTCTCCTCCGTGCCCTCAAAACGCGTGTTGCGGGTGAGGAGGGATTTTTAGAAGGGTCTGGAGCGCACGTCACATGAGGAGGGGCTGGGCATGGGGCTGGGGATGTTTAGCCTGGAGAAGAGGAGGCTCAGGGGGACCTTCCTGCTCTTGACACCTTCCTGAAAGGAGCCCACTGCCAGGTGGGGGTCGGCCTCTTCTATCAAGTCACAAATGGTAGGACGAGTGCAGATGGTCAGAAAACGGCCTCAAGTTGTGCCACAGGAGGTTTAGATGGGATATCAGGAAAAACTTCTTCACAGAAAGAGTGAAGCATTAGAATAGGCTGCCCAGGGAAGTGGTGGAATCACTGTCCTGCCAGCGTTCAGAAAAGCTGTAATGTGGTCCTTAGGGGCATGGTTTAGTGGTAGGCTTGGCAGCACTCATTAATGATTGGGCTCGTTGTTAATAGTCTTTCCCAAAGTTAACAATTCTTTGTGAAAGACCATTCCTGTGTTTCTTTTATATTTGGCAGTTTGTTGTTTGGGGTTTTTTCTTTAATTATTTGCTCTAAAATGCTGGGCACCGATATGAACGTTTTGGGGATTTTTTTTATCTGCCTTTTTAAAGGGAATTATACTTTAACAGAACAGCACTATTTCATTATTGCTGTTACAAGTGCCCAGTGCCCTCGGGTGCCAGTGGTGGGTAAGGTGAGAGCACTGTCCCCCTGTTTAGTCTGTGTTCCCAGTATCCAGAGAAATGGCCAGAAGGTGAACATGAGCAGATCAGGAATTAAAAAAAAAAATGCTCATCAAGACCTTGGTGCTCAGGGTTTCTGCCTGCAGGTGAGGTCAGCTGCTCTGCAGAAAACACTGACCATTTGCATTAGTGCATCACATCCAGCTACTTCTGTAACCTGTCAATACCAAATGGTTTTTTTCACCACTGAGGTTTTGAAACTTGTCTACCTGCTTTGATTGTCTATTAAAGGTGGACTTTTCCTCCTGGGTTATTTTCATCCTTAAGATGTTTCAGTTTTTATGCAGCATCTTCGAGTCAAAGCTTACAATTTTGCTTTCGTTGGGGGGGTTTTTTGGTTGGCTTTTTTTTTGGTTTCATTGTTTGATCCACCTGAAAACATCTCTTTGCTATACTGAGTACAAATCACTCGGGATTTTTGCACATAACACTCTGTGCTGCTCATTCATTATATTTTCTTTTGTGTCTATAGGTTATATACTCTAGGACAAAGATTTTGTCATAAGAAGGTATGGTGTCCTATGTGGCTGCTGATTTTAAGAAGGCACGTATATCTTTAAGCTGATAATTATTAAAAGGTTGACACAGATGAAGGAAACAAAACCTATATTATTCAAGTTCAGCTGAGCAATGCATAATGCTATGCATATCCTTGAAGCTTTCCTGGTCACGAGTCTTAACATAAACCTAAAATAAAATCTAAAAAAAAAAAAAAAAGGCAGCTTGAAAATACAAGACTAACATATGATTTCTGCCAGCAAAATCTCAAAATAATAAATATAGCCATAAGAAAGTGTTAATCCTTGTGATGGTCATTAAACATCAACAAAAAATTAGCAGAGGAAGCATTATTAATTGGGAAAGTGGATTGTCCGAGGTTGTGCAGTCCTATGTCATGTCAAGGCTCCAGGTGAACATGATCTGCAAAAGGAATAATGTCAAGGAGAACTAACTAACCCAAGAGCCTTGAATCAGACCTACTGTATGTCTGTACCAAAGAAACTCTTGAATTAGTGACGAGGAATACCGTAAAGCAGAGGAGTCACACTGAAATATCAGTGGCCAAGTCAAACCTGTCTTGCAACAGTAGCAGCCATTGACATGGAAAATGGATAAGTGTGGTTTCAGTTCAGAACTTATTATGGAAAAGAAATGGGAATAAAAACACCTTGCATTTGGAGTCTGACCTGTCTGCACATTAGATTAGCAAGAAAAGGTTGTAAACATTGTAACTCAAAATGGGATGCCCATAGAACCAATTAGTAAGGGATGGAGTATGACCTAGGAGAAGATAATGAGAATTATAGACTTTATGCATTGCCTTGTGTTAGTTTAAGACATGGAAGGTTTTGCTTACTTAAATCTTCATTAAAATCACCAGGCAATTATGCCAGCAGTTTGTACTGGCATAGGGCTAGCTGTTGCACCTCATGGCACTAAATGCCATCTAGTATAAAGAAAATGTAGGTGCTGTCCTTCTTAAAGGTCTGCAGGCCTCTGCTCTAACAAATTCATTATATGCAAGCTGAGATGTGTGTGTGTGTGTATATGTATTCACATGTGCCTCCTTTGGTACAGGAGAAGTCCCCATTAGTGGGTGTTTGTCTGCTCACAGAGGGCACTGCCTGAGCTTTGTCGATTGTAGCTGCTGTTGGCTGTGCTGCACCGAGGTGAGCAATTAGTTCCACTGTAAAACAGAAGGTGATGCAGTGCCTGCCAGGCAGTCAGAAACCCACAGATAAGACTCTCTGTACCAGCTGTTTGTGATAAAACATTCTTAGAGCATATTCTCTATATCGATCACTTTTAAAATAAATGACATTGCTGAAGGTAATGAGCACCAGAGTAGCTCAGGCTGTACAGGGACTGACCTAAACCCCTGCACTCCTGTCAAGGGCTCTGTACCTTCAGAGCTTTCTCTGGAAAATGCTTGTTGCTCAGGATGAATCAGTGCATCACTGTCTACAAAATTCGCATGGACTTCTTCTCTCCAAACTGCCTAAAATGCAGTTCTGTTTGACTGCTGCCCATATGCCCTGGGACAACTTAATCTATGCCAGAAGAGGTTATTTCACAATGTTCTGTAATTTTAAATACCTGAAAGCATTGGTCTACTTGAGCATGTCTGGTGAGACAGCTCTAACAGAGAGAGCTAGCACACAGCACAATACAGCAAGAGCCAGTTTTTCAAGCAGCCCTGCAGGTTTCTTGATTCATTGGATTGATTCTTCCTTGCTCCCTTTATCTCCTGCCAGTTCCAGGCTCAGTCCTCTTGGTTAGCAGTAGGCTCACAAAACTGGGGAACTGAAACTTTTGACCGCACTTTCCAGAAACAGGCAAGAGCAGAAACCTGTAACACTCCTCATGAGCTGTGGCATCATTCAACCCAGCCTGATGTGCTGAAAGCAACAACATTGGGATGAAGACCCTGAAGACCAGGTCTAATAGAAGATCCTCACAGCAGCAGAAAGGTTTTAATTTTTGTCTTCCATAGAATATGCTTTCTTCATTACATTTTCTGAAGGGAACAGGCCTGCTTACTGAACACAAAAGCAGATGATCCTTATCCTGGATCTGAAGCTGAAAGTTACTGGGCACTGAATGTAAAGGCCTTTCCTTCTAGTCACTGTATTTCTAGGAGTGTGCTGGAGTTTCAAGGAAAGTGGTTACCTCTCCATGTCCTGTGATGGACTGGGTCCTGAACTGATTTGACTGCAGTCAGAAGGATTAGTTTTTCTACATGTATTGTTGCATGTCAGCTAAAATATTGTGTATGTTTTATCTGAAGGATAGTACTCAGCACTCAGTCTTTCTTACATGGCAGCTGGAGAAGAGATGGACTTTCCACAAACTAAAGAGAAGAAGGGAAAATTACAGAAGTCAAGATTTTCTTCATGGGGGAGAGGAAGGAGAGAGACTTGGAAGGGAGCAGGATGGAGGAAAAGACAAACAACAAGTACATATCCTTCACGGAAGTGGTAAAGGATTTTGTAGTCTTGGACATAATACCATCACCTATAGCCACAGACTGTAGTTAAGATGGTGTTGCAAGGAGAGACAATTTCCACTAAAGGCCAAGGCTAACATTTTTGTCAGGCTATTCTAATTGATTTTGCCACCTGACTTTTTCCATCTGGAACCCTTCAGTTTGACCACACTCCCCACATTCTCGTGCAAATCACCAAGTGTCAGGCATCTTAAAGTTATAGTTCACACACGTTATGTCAGTCAAAAAGACAGCATCACACTTGGTGAGGCACTGTAGCTGTCAGGATAGGGGCATTTATATATGACACAATGATGCTGTTGTTGGCTCTGTGCATGGCTGCCTATCAAAATCTCAGCAGTTCAGACCTCAAAGTGCAGATGAGCCACTGCAATGATCACTAGGGTATGATGATTCAGTAAGTACTGCAGAATGTAATTCCATATAATTGTGATGCTTTCAGGGCCCCTCATGGGCCAGCAGAAGGGCTGGTGTTTGTCAGCCATTCTGGCAGAGCTCATCCTATTGCCCCTCTGGACACTGACTTGGTAAATAGCCAGGGAGCAGAGGATCAAACAGCATATGGCTTTGCAGACTTTACTGGGCTGCAGTAAACATCCCGGCCCTGAACAGCTGTGCCTTGTCTCTAACAAGATTACTTTTAAGAGACTGATACCTTCTGGATTGGATGAAAATCTGGAAATAAGCTTGTTGTTGTCAGGGTTTTGAGTGCACCAAGAGGCTCTGCAGCCTCTTCTCCACTCCTTGGGGCTTGGTTGCCCATCCTCCATTGCAGATCTGATATGGTGCAGCTGTAGCCTTGGATCAGGGTGCTGGGGACAGAGCTGTGTGAGGAGGAGCTATGGAAAGCCTCATGGGGGCCTCCTGCTCTTTGCTTGGGAGCTGCATTGAAGCTCAGGCTTCCATCCTTGAGACTTGTCTTTGGTTTGCATGTGCTGTCCATGTGCCTTGCTGATCCTGAACCACTGGGTTGATTTGCTGACTTGACCTCTCACCTGCTTCACCACTACAGACATGTCTGGTAACCTTGAATACTGCCTCACCCTGCTCCCCAGTATGGCACCTGCTCAGGTACTGTGGGATTGTGCCCTCCTGGGTGGGATCATTGCCTTACCTGCCTTGCTATTGCCCTCAGCTCCTGGCTTCTTTCTATTGTGGGACAACCCATGCTTGCTGCTTCCTGAGAGCTCCTATTCCAGAGCCATGAACATGGTGTTACATGGAGAAGTTAGTGGCCCATTGGCTGTCGCCTGGTGTCTGAAATCAGTACATGTGATGCAACTGAACAAAGCTCATTGACAGTGGAGACACTGCTGAGGCCAGCTGCCAGCCATACAGTCCCTCAATGTACAGGACAGAACAGCACCCTCAAATAGGAAGAGAGCAGGCAGGGAATGTGTGGTCCTCTCTGCAGGCCTCTGCTTCCCTCATGCTTCCCCCAGGTTTCAAGTTGAAAGCTTGTCTCAGTGAAATTAAGGTCAGTGCTTACAAGCACTGCTGGGCAGAGCTGCTCATGAGGGGCTGGCTGCATGCTGAGAATTTGTGGCCTATACGTGAGTAGACAAGTTAGGGACAGCACTTTTAGTGTGGAGGCTAAAGGCCTTGTGGAGTAAGTGCCATGCAAGAGGACACCTCACACGGTGTCAGGGAGCTTTCAGCTGGGTGTTAAGAACCTGCAGGGTGGGACATTATAGTGTTGCCTGTCAAGCCACATGGACATCCCTGTTAAAACTAAGCCAAATTCTCTAGGGTAGGACAGCAACACCCCAAACACCACGGTAATGGAAGCTGTAGATCAGCCTGTCAGAGCCACATGGGCACAGACACCATTATCCTGCATAGTACACAAACAGGATATGTCCTTAACTATAAACACAGATTAGATTGGAGAGCACAGCTGTGCAGCAAAGCAGTGACTACAATGACCACCTATTACATGCACTACCTATTACCTATACACCATGTGTATGTGGCTGTGTAGGAATTCCATAAATTGGATTTGCTATTAAAAGTCATAAAGGTTTTCTTTTGTATATCCACAGTACTAGAAGGCATCATCTTTGTTGAACAGTTTGGGGCATAAATTACCCAGTAATCTGTGTCAGCACTTGACTTAATTGCAAGGTGAGAGAAAAAGACTGAATAAATAAGTGCTGTTTTCTCATGGAAATCTAAAAAGATTCTTTTTGGATTATAAAAGAGTCACTCTGTGGTTTTCCTCAAGTGTTGTCGTATGTTTATGCTTGAGGAAAATCGAGTTATTGGAAATCTATGCCAGGCTCCAGATAAGCAGTTGACTTTCTATCCATGATTTAATACCCACTAAACAGGCAAGAATGCTTCTTCATTATTTCCTGACAGTGAAAATATCCTGTGTTAGGCATCTTTCTTGTTCAGATGTGGCAGCTTCTGCCTACTACTGCTCTTCCCTTGTAGTCTGCAGGCCCAAAGCAGTACAGTTTGGACAGATAACTAAATTTCTTAAGAACTTCCAAGGAGCAGCAAAATCAATGCTTCTAACAATAAAGTGCAATAACTGGGCATGCTGTTTGCTGATCTTCACTTATGAGTGATTCAGTTCCTTCCTTTTCTAATTCTTATTTATTTATTTATGTATCTCTTCTGTATCTGTTGATTTTGTTTTTTCTGTCCTTTGTGCTCCTTCTTTCCTGCCTATTAGCAAAACACAACAAACCAAAAGAATGTGAATCATCTGATCTTCATGGTAGGTTTTTAATCTTCTTTCAAGAGAGAACTGGGCCCTATTTTCTGAGTAACTGCATTATTATGAAGAAAATTACAAAATTACAGAATCATCCTTAAATCAGCCTTACATATTTTAAGTTATTAAAAGCAACATCTTCTTTTTCCAACTATGTTTCAGCTAACTTTTTGATTAAATTTTGCTGTTCTCAAAGATGAAGGATGAAAAGAAACAGAAATGCTAGAGCCCTGAACAATTTCTCACTATTTGCAGGAATACACTTGAAACTTCCCTGGCTTGCATATTTATCCTAACTAGCTAAGACATTTCAAATGGAGTCAATACAGGAATGGGGCCATAAGAGCAAAGTGAAGAGCTTCAGGGACTAAAAAAGATTCATAGCCCCATATCCTCAAGTGGGCTCCTGCTTGCCACAGTTGTTTTAAAAGTTTTCATTCCTTTATTTCAGTACAAAATCATAACTTCACTTTTTTCACAGCCTACAAAAAATCATGATTTAGTACAAAAGTGAATATATGTGTTAATGAAGCAGCTGTCCTTTACAGAGTCCAACAGTTGCCAGTCTGAGGGACACAAATATACTCCAGAAAGCACAGTGCTGTTTGGCAGATTAGTGAACCACTGAAAACTGGCACTCACCATGAAAAATTAGCAAAAAGGGAAAAAATGGAGGAATGAGAGATTAGAAGAAAAAGTTGTGGAGGAGGACCATAAAAAATTGAGAGAATGAAGAAAAATTGGCAACAACTGGGCCACAGCACAGAGCAACAATTTGGGCTACCTGTGTCAACTGGGATTCAGACCAGTAAAATAAGATGCTGTGAATGAAAATAATTTATCACAAAAATAATACATCAAGTAATGCTACTAGTAAGCAAACCGAAGTAGACACAGCATAAAAATGTGTAGAGAGGTCACTAAGGACTCCCTTTTTCTTCTCCTGCAAATGAGGCTTTTGGCTTGGAGAGTGAATACAGATTTTATGAGTTTATCTTTTTCCCTCATCTGGACACAAAATCAGAAATAATCAGTACTCTGTTCCACCCTCTATAAAATTCACTGAGGCATTCCTTTAATTATGTTTACATATGCTTATGCTTGTGGGGCTGCTGTGTGAACCAGGCACCTGGCTAAAAAAGGGAAATTGGAGAGAAGGGATGCTGAAGTTTTTACTTTGAAGTGGATTCCTTTTCTGGTCTGATTCACATTACAGTCCTGCACCTTGTTTACATGGGGGTAGAAATGAATTAAGCCAGCATTGATGCTGGAGACAGTATATCATCAGATCACTAACATTCTGGAAAAAAAAAAAAAAAAACAAAACAAACCCATTACTTGTGGAGCAGTGTAGCTGCAAATTAAAGGTGTTAGGAAAACACACAACTGAGGGGCATATGAAAGGCAAATGTGAGAGGGACAGGAAACGTGTGTGGGAAACGCATTTGGAAAACAACTGAGGGATAGGAAGAAGAGATGTAATACATGGTAGCAACACTTTGACCGACTCTCTGACCATCTTTATAGAACCTAATTAAGACATTCAAATTTGGGGTTTGACTATTTCTTGAATGTTTGAATTTGTTGGGTTTCTCTTATTTTCAGATTTTCTGCGATTACAGCTGTAAGTTGCCAGTTTACCTTAGCAGAGAACAAGGATAGGCTAGCACTTCCTGCTAAAACTGAAACTGTTGTTTCCCATCAAAGCACAAAAAGCAAAGCAGCAGAGGAGAATCAACCAGCAGTTATTTACCAGCAGTTTGTTATCTATTTCAGTGCTCACAACCATGTTCTCTTAGCCTGATAAACACGACTGCCTGCTGTTAACAAATATTGCCTGAAGCAAAATACTAAACAATCTAAAAGAACCTTTTATTCCTATTTTACATATTTATTTCCAAACAGTTCCTAACAGCTCCAGTTAGCGCATTAAGGTGCCCAGTCCTTACTGGCTGCACAAATCAGTTCTTCACGCTGACGCCAGCAGTATTGCCATGGTTACGTGATTAGAGTGGCTTAACCTGGCAGGTGGCTTAGCAAGATGCCAAGTGCCAAAGCAATCCTAGCACACAATCTATACTTTTCCATCAAACAAATTAGTATATCACATGCACTGGTGTCCATATCGTAGTAGGGTGGGTTGTTTCTTGTTTGCCATTTGTTGGGGTTTTTTTTCTGAATAACAATGCTGTTCTCAAAATTTTACCATTTTTCAGCTATAACATTGCAAACAAACAATTTTCTAAAATAAACACCCTTTTTCCTCTACTCACAGTTTTATAGATCCAACAATTGCAGTAAAGATAACAACCAAGGAATTAAAAAATATTCATAAATCACAAAAATTCAATGTAAAGTTTATATTTATAACTACATTTAGGGTTGGACTAAAAATCTGGAAAGATCCCATGCCAGCTGAAGGCTGGCCAGCTATTACTTGTTTGAGTGCATTTTTTGGGAAATGCAAAGGTGTGATTTTTTTTTTTTTTTTAGACTGATGATTGCAAAGCTGAGATTCAGCAGCTTTGGAGATAGATTCAGCTGTAAACAGTTGTGGTTGAGACTACCAGAACTGCTCCACCGAGGTATGAGAATATTTGCCTACCAAGTATCCAGACCAAGTAATTCACATACAGATAGCAAAATGACTTAAAGCATGTGCCTTCTTGAGGGGAGAAAGCATCAGAGAAATAAAGAAAGTCAAAACATAATGAACAGATCAAACTTTGGCAAGCAAGGTACTGCTAGCATTTTCTTAGGTGGAAGCTACTAGACTTTGCAAATCTCAAACTAATGCAAAGCCGTAATACCTCAGTTGGTATTATTTTAGCTTTAATTATAAAGATATTGTAATTGCTATGTGTATTACATGCAAAAACTTTCTTTTGTTTCCTTCTGTTGAGTGGGGTACAATGCTGAAAGAACAGAGAGGGAGTTTTCATTCTTAACACTTTCACACTGCTTGCCAAGATCGGTTTTCTGATATGAATATAGGACAGTGTAGTAGCTTATATAATCCTTAAGGTATAAAAACACCTTGGAGTGTGTAGAAGTTTTATAGCTGTTTCATAGATTCATTCATACTATTGCCCAGTATATTTTCTGTCCAAAGGAACTCCAGAAAAAGTGATGTGTTGTTTTTCACAGCTTGTTTGCCATCTCCCCTTTCTCATGCTGATTTCACTGCTGTGTTGATGAAGCTTCAGTCCTCTGGTCTTTATACTGTAGCATTCAAGTTTAGAGATTCTGAAGCCTTCCTTAGAAGTGACTCAAGTAATTTTTTGCATTTGGAGGAGAAAGCTGAAAAGCCTTCAATATTTAAATAGAAACATAAGTTTCAAGTGTAGTATAAAGGCTTCAGATCTCTTAACTTTATTCATCAATTAACATATCTGCAACAGCTGGGGTTTGATCCATATTTTCAGAGAACAGTAATGTTGCTGATACAGCATTTCCAGTTCAGTCACAGGAATACTGAAGTGGTTTTCAGAAGATCATTTAAAAAGCACTCAGTTGACAGGATGTTTCTTCAGGGAACCATTGATCGCATTTTCAAATTGCAACAGAACCAGAGATTGTCTTCATTTTAATTTCAATATCAGGAATGCCTTAAGTGACGATCACAGCTAACCCATTTTAATGACAACCCTGAACATTTAGAAACTCTTATCTATTCAATGTACTTCTGTGCAGAGAAACAAGAACAGATGGATACTTCCTTAACACCTGCTGCTGTGGGAGTCTTCTGAAACACTTGCAAGTAAGAAATTATTACTGCTATAAAGTGTCTCTCAGTTTTATTTGTTTGGAGGGTTTCTACAGAACATGCATGCAATTTATTTTATGTTTCTCAACTTAGTTGTTGCTTTTGGAAAGCTGAGGAAGGATCACTTACTGAAGGAAAGCTTATTTCCGTGCTTTTTTTTTTTTTTTTTAAAAAAAAAAGGCGGGGGGTGGGTTAGGATAATAGATTGGAGACTTACTGCTATCTGTTGTGTAAGGAGGTAGAAGAATGCACATGGTACAGTACTCCAGCAGTGAAGGAACAGCTCCAGGAACAAAGAGCCCAGTCCTGCAAAGCAGGAGGAGAGAGGGCTTTCTAGAGAATACCATGTCAAAATGAAACCTAATGCTTTTCTGACTAGGAACTGAAAGATGAAGTGCAGAAGTTTTAGCTCATAATTGCCCTTTGAGCTTTCTATGGGTGATTTAAATGTTTCTCTGCTTCCACAAGTCTCCAATAATAGAGAGACAAATTATTTCCTAGATTTGGAACACTGTTCTCTTTTGAAGCTATATGTATCAGTTTTGTTTGTTTTGTAGATTTTCATATGCAGTAGATTAGAGAAATAACATGTAATTTCAAAGGATCTGAAAGTGAAATGTTATTAAGGATTCTAATCCACCAAGATTATTTAATGGGTTTCATTTTCATTATGCTTAGTGGTCAGAAACTGCCCTAAAATAAATCTAGTTAATTGCAATAGGAGATAAAACCCAAGTTGTTATACCAAAAGAATACATCCATCTTTTGGAACAGATGTTGCAATAATGAATGCAGGTGATAAGAAATTTGTAAAATGGAGAGGATGACAGTACTGAACACAGAAGGAAAGGGTTTCTTCCAGTTTAGGAAGACATTGGGGATTGACCTTGGAGCACATAATTGATTCCATTTTATAGGTCCACAGACTTAAAACTTGAAATAACTATGCAGACAGTTTACTCTGAGCTATTGCGTAATAGAGGTCACAATACTTCACCTGGTAATTCTTAACCCATAATTTCTGACTGGACTGGAGAATGTCTCTTAGAAAGACACTCAGTCATAATTTAAAGTCTTCACATTGCTAAATTCCTTAATTCTCAAGGTAAATTGCTTTGATTGTAAATCATGCTAAAATGATGTACATTATATTAGCTTGAATTTTTCTTCCAGCTACAAAACTTTTTTTTGTTGTCTTACTGATTCCACAGTTCTCTGATCTGTCTCATCCCACTGTACAAACAAATCAAATAACCCCTGACTTTCCTGTTGCCTAAACTGATTAAATGAAAACTCATTAACTTCTTCTGGCTTTAAGGTATGGATTTCCAAACCTTACCAAATTGAAAAAGATTCTGAAAAAACTGAAAGTATTTGGTGTATATTTTTAAAGACTAGACAGAAGAAAATAATGTTATTCCTTACTCCTCTCTGAAGTAATGCCATATATAAGCATAGAAATGCACCTTTGTTAATTTATCTAAGGATCACAGCAATTAATTCAGACACTTTAGATATTAGGTTATCCTGCCAATTTACATGCATCTAAGATAAATCTTGTAATTTGTTTTGGCTCCTTTGTCTGCTGAACACAAAGATAAATTTGCTATATATCTAGGACTTGAATTCCAAGGAATGAACTCTATACGGTGTTCAATGCACAAATTTAGATAAACCATTTATCTACTCTCAGTGATTAAAACCTGAAGTACATGACTTATGAGGACAAGCTTAGAAGAACTGAGTTTGTTTAGCCTGGAACAGGCTTGGGAAGTCACTGTCTACAAAGCCCATTGGGGGATGTAGGGAAGATGAAGCTGAACTGTCCTTGAAGGTGCAGAGTGAAAGCATGAGGAAGAGGAATTTCTGGTGAAATATTAAGAGGAGAAAACAATTACTCCTACTGAGGGTAAGCAGCCACAGGTATCTCCACCATTAGGAACCACCATCCTTAGAAATACTCAAAGCTCAACTGAGTGTTCCGATCAACCTGCCAGACCTACTCTGAAGGGTGAATCAGAGCAGATCTGTTCCAGAGAAAGGTTCTTTCCAGTTTACATGACTCTAACTCTATGACTAATTAATTAGGTCTGCTGGCCTAACTCAGTGGTGTAACTGAAGCTATGCTGTAATTTAGGCTGGAAGTGCAGACCTTTCTTTGCACAAGACCTTGTATGGTATTTGACAGGAACAGAGATTTTTGTCAGGGTGCTTGTTCATACAAACAAAATGCTATTCAACAGACAACAGCTGAATGTCCACCTCATCCACCCATCCACTGTGCTTGTCTTGGCCATCCGTGTCTCCCCTGCATGAACTAAACTACTTCACTTAACACCACAGCCTGATATGATAAACTAGCATGAATTACAGTCCTGCAAAACAACTTTAAGTTCTTCATGCTAGACCATGCCATAATTTCCAGCAATGTAGTAGTAGCCCCTGCATAAAACACTGACTTTCCCCAAAGCAGGTGTAGAGCAGATCATTGAGAAGAAGCAGAACCATGCGCAAAACCAATTTCGAATCAGCAGCCCTCTTTTTTGTTTTTTCATTGCAACTAAAAATTGGTCCAAAGACTAATGTTCTTGATGAAGCTACATGCTGTGCCAAAGCTAAATGTTATTGAGCTTGCTTATCAGACATGATAAGCAATGCAAGGTATATAATATAGTTAACAACTTAATTTGTACCTGTTGTGTTCAAAAGAATCATCCTATTATCTTTACTTAACATTCTTTTACACCCAGTTAAACTAATCCAGTGAAATACACATACATAAGAATAAGGCCTTTGATATGATCAGTAAATTAAATTAACTTAACTCCAGGAAGAAGAAGAAGAAGATAAGAAAATGCCTGTCCTTATGAGAAAGGTCACAAAGAAAGAATAAGAAGAATGCAAACCAAAATTTAAAGAAATAATGGCCAGAGGGATAAGTGGCCTGCGTTTTTTGTAGGTTTCTGTTTGAAAGAAATCTTTTTCCTTGACACTTTACTGTATTCCAGATTAAGGACACTTTCTGATTATATGTTCTGCTTTGATATGCCTTACATGGAAAGATGACTGGGGGTAAAATTAAAGGCAACAGAGAAGTTATAGTCACATCCTAACAGAAGTTGTAACGGTACAGAAATTATGTGGCAAAGTGCAGCTGCTACTCCTTGGATGGAATATGATCAGTATGCTCAAAACCTATTCCACCAAGATTCCCTACACACCAAATTTGCAACCATAAGCACCTGCTGAGGGGGATGGAATGGAGGGTGGAGCATAGTGGAAACCCTTACAGGGAAGGGAACTCGATGGCATTTTGCAGCTGATAAACCCCAAAGCAGCTGTCAGTCAGGGGAGAGAGGAGAAGGTGTCTTGCTGCCAAGCCAGCAGCTCTGGAGAATTCATTCTCCTCAGATAAACTTGGTTCATTACAGCATAATTAAATACAACACACAGCTCCATCCCAAAGCTACCTGCCCACAAGGTATGACCACCTCTCACAGAACAAGTATCTAAATTTTATTTACTATACCTTGAAGAGTGAAGCAAGGGATTTTTTACCAATCACTAACAAACATCTGTATGACTAGAGTTATTCAAACTCCACCAAAACACAAAGAAGTACTATAAAAATACATTGAGAGTGGGGAAAAGTTAGTGTAGACTCCACAGTAACTGTTGGCATCAGTTGATGGGCTGAACCTGTCCTCTTACTCATAGGGACAGGTAAGAACCACATTCTGTGTGACCTGAACACTTTTACTGGGGATTAGAGTTTGTCTCTGCATTGCTTTGAATATATCTCTGCAGTCAAATGCCATCACAGGCAATCCTCAAACCTTAACCTGTCACAGTTTTATATTAATGAAGTGTATTATTCTGTAAACTGTTGGTGTGAATCCTTCATGGGTGCTGGCAATCACTGGCAGAGGGGAAACACTGGAACAGAGGGGAGGACTCACTGAGGAGTCTCCATTATGGTGTCTGTGTGTCCCTGAATAAGTCAGTCAAACCAGCCTCAGATCCAGCAGGATTGCTCAGTGAAGGGTCCCCATAACAGGATGCTGACAGACTGGTTGGGCACAAGGGTCTTGAATTTCTTAGGGCACTGACAGACAAACATTAAGGGTTAAGGAAATCTCCCCTCTTCACGTGACTCCTAAAATGCTGCACTTTTATTGCAGAAACCAAACATACTCTATTGCAGGAAAAAGAGAGAAACGTGTTAATGGTTTAAACAACAACTACACTGGCCAGTAGATTGTGAATATACACATTTTCTTTGCTGTTTTCCTCTCCAGTTTGAGGGTCACATCAAAGCCGTGTCCCTGTATTGACAGGAGAAGTCAATACTTCAAACAGTGGGGAAAACAGAATATCAAACTGTGAATACATGTGCAGTATGTGTTGCTCAGCTAAGGCTGTGGATATGGAAGAAATGTCTTGCACAGAGATGCCACCCTGGGAAAAAATTGTTTTCTGAAATATACTTCTTGCCTTAAAGAATATGTCTCCATTTAGTTACTCCAAGATCAATTATAATTGAGGAGATGGATGTGTAAAACTAATCTCTGAACTTTTTACTGCTCTTCCCAAAGGCAGCTGTTTTACCTCAGCTGTCAAAAGGTCCAGTCTATAGGATCATCTGGTCACTCAGCCAGAAGTTTTAAGTGGTGCGAATATGTCCTGGAAAGGGCAGCTATGTCAGAGTTGGGCAACTTGACTGGAAAAACAAATGTTTTCTGCGGCAGATGAAATATTCACTAGTCTTAATGACTAGTAGTGGCTGCAGTGAGGTTTCTCCAGTTAATTTCTTTGAAATATCTTGGCTTCAAAAATAAAACGAAGAAAAAATCTTTCTTCCACTTTTTGAGAGGATGCATCAGCCACCTGCTGGAATGCAGCCTGAGCAAAGGAAGACATAAACTTTCTTAAACTCTGTCTTTTCAAGTGTCTTTGTAGACTGTGTGAGATGTTTCACATTATAAGTTAGTTTTTCTTTAACTGTATATAACAGTTTGGTTTTCATTCTTGGCAGATGATAAAGTGATCACACCCAAATAGCATTACCAGGAATCTTCTTTTGCTACAACAGCTCACCCACATATTCTAACAGTCTTACTCAGTGACTCACTCGCTCTGTTGTTACACAATTTCTTCTGGGAGCAGGGAACAGCAGTAGTTTTATCTTTGGCTATTCCTCTCAGAGCCCTTTGCAATTCTATTCTTACTCATCTGGTTCATCTCCATTTTCTTAATTGAAAACTGAGATGTTTTTCCCATACAATGCATAATAGTGTGTGGACTTGCCTTTCAAATCTATTGATATGATAAAAAATATATTTGCGAGTAGTTTTATCAAAGACTCTGCAGCCATAACAAGACTTGTAACTGCATTACAACTGAAGGTGAGAAATGTGTGTGTGTGTGTGTGTGTGTGTGTGTGTGTGCGCATATACTTGTCCCTATCTTCTCACACCATAACTTAATGTAAAACTTTGAGTGTTATTTATGCACCTACTTAAAGCTCTGGAGTAATTACTGTAGAGTAAATTAAAAAAAAAAAAAAAGAAAAAAAGAGCAATGCAAAAATTATAAATCTTGCTTTATGTTTGGGGGCTGTACTAAACATAATTTGCCACAAAGCTGCATCTTGTGTTTGCAGAGTGTTTATCAGCTTTCACTATTTATAACAGATGGAACTGGAGCATTCTGAATGTTTCTATTAAACAGAAAATGGCACTGCAACATAAATACAATATTGTGGAAGTTTGGTCTTGCAAATTAAATTCTACAACCTGGCAGATGATAGCTTACAATATCATCTCATCCTCTCTTTTGTAGAATATAACTACAGAAGATATCCCTTGCCATGTGCCCAGTGGGGGCAACGTTATGCCTGCATACTCTGAAAGAGGAAAGGAAGGATAACACTGATATTGCACAAGGGCCATTGCATGGATTTCATGAGGCACTATCATGTATTAAAAGAAATGAATGGACAAGCAACAAATACAATCTCTCCTTGTAGCTAAAGAAATCTCAGTCTGATTCTGATCCTTAGGCACTTATGTCCCACCATATTACTGGTAAAAATACTTCTCCAAACTGAACTTTTTCTAAGTCGATAGACAAAATAGCAGCATAGTCACAACCATCCCACACTGAACAAATGGCCATTGCTGATCTTGCAGAAAAATCCTCTCCCACAACATGTGAACAACATGTGCTTCCAGAGCTCTGGCATTGGCCATCTTTAGAGACTGTGAATAACTGTTTACTCATGGGCATTTATGTAAGTCCTTTGGCTGGTAAGCATCTCCTTTTCCAATTTTTAACATATTTTCTTTTCTCAGAGGCAGAAGTGTCTTTCCTCCTGGGTTTCCATAATACCCTTCCTTGTTACAGGTCTACCCAAGACTAGAGTTAGACAGTCATTCATTGCCCATAATTTCTGTCTTCATTTATTTAAAACAAATGAACAAACTTCATGTATGCAAATAAAACCATAGCACCATAAGTAATGCCAACTATACCAGTGAGTCAATGTGTTAAAATTCTCCCACCTCCATTAAATTATATCCCTCTTGAAAACTAGACCCACGGAGATGGCCACAAAATGGCACCACCATCTGTAGCTTTGCTCACATAAAAAGTTATATGAGAGTTTTTATCTTCAAACCCTTGCAGAACTATTAGCCTCAGATCTTATTCCCTTTAGAGTCTGCAGCCCCTGAAGAGTCTGTGGAGAAGCAGTTTACCCTGAAGGACTGCAGTCCATGGAAGGGCAGATGCTGGAGCAGAGAAAATCTAAGTGGAGGAAGGTGTGAGAAAGAGGAGCTCTTATGGCCTGGGTGCAATCCCCATTCTTTCTGCACCGGGCTAGGGGCAGAAGCAAGATTGGAATGAAATAATGATGTGGAGACTGAGAAAAGGGGGTATGAGGGTGGTGGGAAAGTGCTTTAGTTTTTGTTTAATTTTCTTATCATTCTACTCTATTTTAATTGTTAATATTAACTAATTTTCTCTCAATCATGTCTGTTTTGCCCACAACAGCCATTGGTGAGCAATCTCCTTGTCCTCATCTTAACCCATGGGTTGTTTTCTTCTTATTTTTTAATCCTGTCCCACTGAGGAGGAGCAGGGAGAAAGCAGCAGGGTAGGAGATTGTTAGCCATGGCTAATCTACCATACTAGTGTATCATCTTTGTAGCGTCTCTAATTTGATCTGTATCAAATGAGAGTATTCAAAAAGTCACAATTCTAGAAAAATATGGCCATGTAACTTCATGTTCTCAAGTTAGGTACATGAAAGATTTCTCCTGCCACTTTGTGGGTAAAACTGGACATTCCAGAAAAAGACATGTATATACGCCTTATAATTTTTTAATTTCTCAAAAGTTATTCTTAGTCGTTTTCCTCATTTCTCATTTTTAATTACAGAGAGGGTTGGAAATTAATTCAAATTACCCCAAATAACATCTGAAAACTAATTCCAGTTCTTCCTACATGTTTACAGTTTCCTACATGTAAGATGTATGCACAAAGTAGCATTTGTCAAGATATGAATACATAACCCTAATGACATTAATGTCTTATCCAGGAGTACCTGCTGGAGCATCATACTTGCCAAGCAGCGCCAAGGCAGCCTTCTGTACCTTCCTCTTTCTTTCTAAAGCTCAGACTCTCTGCCATTATCTCCTCCAATCAAGCATGAATACATACATGGCTTCAACTGGCATTCTGACAATTCAAGACATCAGTGACAAATATAAACAGGGCTCTTAAATTTGGAAATCAGTATGTAAGAGGTGGTATGGTTGAACTTTGGAACCAATATAAGCTGTATCTGTATAATTCAAACAATACTGCAAATGGAATTAGACATTTCAACATCAATATTACGTACCTTTAAAAATTCCAAAATATATTTACAGTATCTGGAAGTGTTTCTAATGGATCTTATTCACATGCAGTGTTCAGTCAAGTGGATTGCCCCCATAGAGCTTATGAACACATCTGATCCATAAAACTCATCTTCCTCACTGACTTGTGTTTTGCCTTGTGACACCTAATTATTTGAGCTAGCAGATCTAAAATGTACTTATAGATTTGTAATTTTATTCTGAGTGAAGAATCAACTCAATCTAACTTCTATCCAATTTCAGAATGGCATTAAAAATACTTGGAAACTGAAAATCTGCTAAGATGTTTTTCATCAAAACAGATGGGAATTATACTTCTGAAATTGCCTGTGGCCATTTATAAGATTTCTTTTTAAAAAACAGTTCCTCTATATTTATGACAGTGGCTCATCTATTGCTACAAACCGAAGCAAAAAATTTCAACATAATGCTAAAAATGAAGTTAAAGTTTGTAGACGAGCTTCTTCAAAAAGGTTCTGAATTTGTAGTTAGAGTACTCTCATTTCTTTTTATTTCATGTTTAATAACTCATTTTTGCCTGTGAGAGTCTTTTCTTTCTGAAACTTGGCACGACATAACTTGTTATTAATCAGCATTGTACACACTCAAGTCTTGATCTTATTGGTTGCCCCAAGTGCCATAAAAACATAAAGGAAGGCAAATATCTCAACCGAAAAGCTTAAATTTAATGTTTTGTCACAATTCAGCTGTTATGCATGAAGCTGAATGGCTTATAATTCTTAGGTCTTGAGCTGATACAGGACCAGATATTTTAGAAAGCTTATGTGGCTAGCAAGGCCAGCTATTTCACTGAAGCCCAACAAGGATGCAGTACAATTTCTGACTGTTTTACTAATGGCAGAGAGCAATGGAACCCTGGAATAGGATAATCCAGAGTTCCATTCCAGCTGACTGACCAGGTCAGGACTGACCAAAAGTTAAAGCATGCTATTAAGGGCATTGTACAAATGCCTCTTAAACACTGACAGGCTTAGAGCATGGACCACTTCTCTAGGAAGCCTGTTCCAGTGTTTGACCTCCCTCTTATGAGGAAAGGCTTCCTAATCCAGTCTGAACCTCCTGTGGTGCAGGTTGAAACTATTCCTTTCTGTCCTATCAGTGGGTCAGAGGGAGAAGCGGTCAGAACATCCCTCTCCACTTCCCCTCTGCAGGAAGCTGCTCCAGAGAGCAATGAGGTCACCTTTCAGCCTCCTTCACTCCAAACTAGGCAAAACCAAAGTCCTCAGCTGCTCCTCATAGGACTTGTATTCTAAGTTCAGATTAAGTGTTAATAGATGACCAGAGTTGAAATTACTGTGTGTGCATGTGTAGAAGGAAAACACAGGAAACAGCAAGAGAATTAAGTCAGAGAGCAATCCAAACAAGAGAATTCAGAGTAAAATGTTATCAGATGAAAGATGTGTCTCCTGTTTCTTATTTTCCACCATATTCAGGAAAATAGGATTCCATGTACATTTTTCAAAAATAAACAAGATTACAACAAAGACATTTCTGATTGCAAAATCAATTTCAGGGGAAAATAAAACAATCTGAAAGGTCTCAAACTGCTTAACTTCTCAAGCTATATCTCTGTGGAATTGTGTCTTGCTCTTCTTCTTATTATAGAGCTGTAAGAGAAAAGAAGAGTGTTATTTCCAAAATGTTATATTTTATGAGTTACAAACTGAAGGAAAAACAAAAATATATTTGTGAGGCAATGAAGGATTATTGCACATTCATTTAAAGCTAAAACATACAGTTTGTAATTTAAAAGTAAATCATTCTATATTTAAATGTTATGTTTTTCTTAAGAAGTGACATCCCCAAGCAAAACAGCAATGCTGATTTGTCATAAGAAAGCCATTTTGCCATACAGAAATAGAATATTTTTCAGTTAGAGTTATTTTGATCATTCTGTGATACAGTTATTTCTTCTTACATTATTATTTTTAACTGTTAAAAATAATCCTGTCAGTGGTAAAGAAATAAAACAACTTTTCAAAGTTTACATGTCTGTTCTTATGAAGACAACATATTCAAAAAGAAAAAAACACAAACTGCCCAATCTTCTTCTGCTAAAACAGGAAGTGTTCTGAGCATTCTGCTGGAACATGGGGAGGAGGCTTTGGTCCTTGCTCTGAAGGTTGCTAGTATTTTTAAACAAGTGTAGTTTAGTGTAAGCATTCCTGTTCTGGAAGCCTTGTCTGAAAATCAGTGCTCTCTTCCCTCTTAGGTTATTCCTTTATCCACAATCCTTTATTTAGGCTTTGCTTCTCTGCTTTTCCACATGATCTTTTTATGCTGAGTTGCGCAATGGTGCATAGGTCGTGACGTTCTCATGTCTGAAAATCAGGGTCTGAAAATATTGAGGGGGTTTGGGTTGAGTCAAAGGAATGCTTGCCTGTGTGTGGATTGCAGTGGAAGATGAAATGACAGGCAGGAATGCACCACCACCAAATTAGAGTGAGTAAGGGATAAGATCAAGTGGGAATAGATGGCTGTGGACAACACAGCTGACTTTTAGCCTCATTTAAAAAGGGTTTAGTTAGACTGCATTCTTTCTGACCATGTCAGCATACTGCAAATGTTCTTATTGATGTAGATAGTCACTGCCCTCTTCCCACAGATAAAATATTTCTGCTATTTATTGTACAGTAACAGCAGCCAAAAAGCAAGAGTGCCTCCAAAAGCCAGGTGATGAAGTGTGTGGCTTAGAGGCATTTCCAAGGCAGATTAACACTTCTGGAGTAAAACTGGCCCCATTTTGACAAAGATTTTTCCTATGGAGGGCGTCGATGCAGCAACAGTTGCAGTAAGGAAAATAACACTGAGAAATCATCATTCAAGTGTCAACAAGACAAATATCCCCTGTTGTGGCAGCCAGAGACCACAGAGCTCTAGATATGCTGTAGCAATTCTTCAGGGCTTCTGACAGTGGTAGGAAATAGGTCTCACCTTTCCCTCAGGAAAAAAATTACCGCTGGTAAGGCAACAGATCACAAGCATGCTGAGAGTGAGAAAATCTGTCTCTATATCTGCTCTTTCAGCTTTGCTCATCAGAGGTTTCATTTTGCATCAATGGTGAAATGTAGGAATGGCATTTAGATGTTCTGAGGTCTATTTGGAGCCCCTCACCCTCTCCAGCAGAGACATCTTGCACTCCTCACATCACTCTGCTCTACTTTTCAAACACCGCAAAGATGTGAAGGAAAGAGCCTGACAGTGGACCTGTGTTTCTCAGTCAGTGGAACAGATCCCAGCACTGCTTAGGAATGACAACACTGAGGCTCGAATTACTGTGCACTTTTGAAGAATCTTCCAATCAAAATTAACTGTATTCAACAAGCAAAAATTTGGTTTCTTTCCTATTGTACAGTAAATCAGTACAAGCTTTTACTCTGGTTTAGTCTGGTTTCAAATGCATGATAGTAATGAAAATAAAACTCAGAGATATTCTTTGTGAAGACTGACAAATTTCAAAGAATGCAAAGTACAAACATTCCAAATACACAATTACATAAAGTATTTCATTTTGCAATAAAACTCATTAAAACATTAAATTTTTAATGCTCCTTTACCATAGAATATGCAAATCAACTTTACAAGTCTACATCTTCCAAGAATAGATGGCACTACAAATTCCTACATTCACGACAACATTAAATAATGTTATAGCATTTTAACATTTGCAAAACTAATCATAACTGCCTAAGTAATATATGATTATCAACTTAGCTCTAAAACACTTACATAGATATTTTTTCTCACAGCAAAATGGAAAGTTACGATAGAAGGAGAAACATCTCAAGAATATTTTACGTCTTACACTGATTTATCTGAACTGAGAACTAGGAAAATATTCCACTATCAATTACAATGGTGTAAATCACAATGCTCAGTGTCAAAGAATAAGAGGTTTCTGTTTATTAGCAGCCATAAGCCAAGGCCTGTTGTGTACTTATAGGAGCGATAGGCTGAATTTTATATTTCATTTAAAAATCAATGAAGTAATTTTAGGCACAGGTCTTCCTTAGAAAAGTACAAAAGTCACTCTTAAATGGACAAAGCTTGTTGATGTTTATTTGTGCAACAGGAACACACCTGGTACTTCAGGACAGGAACCACGTGAGTTTTCCTTCACAGAATTGAGCCTCAGGAGCTGCTGGTCACAAGGAGTACTGCAAAGACAGCACGGTATCTGAGAATGCTGCTGAAGCAAATCTGGACTGTGGCATGCACACCTTAACACAGCCCCAGGTTAGGCAATCGGACTGTTATTGAGCAACCACAGAAGGCTATTAACCTTTGTATAAGGTGATATATACACTACATCTCCTGTGCTCTTCAGCAAGGTGAAGGTAGGATTGAAATCAGCTGGTTAGCAGCTGGTGGGAGAAGAACAGGCACAGATTGATAGGTCTGAAGTACTGAACAGAACAAAGAGGATAATTATGGCATATACGGATTCATGTATTAGCAAATCACAAATCAGTCTTCTTGTGCCTAGGATTTTCTCAATAGAACAACTCCTTGTGGGTTATTGATGAGTCTTCAGCAGACCAAAAGAAAAGGAGGAGAGGGACAGGAATGTGAACTTCACATCAAAGTGGATGTTCATGCTGATATGAATATGCAGGAGTAAGAGAGGGATAAGAGGTGTAAGGAAAACATGGAGATGGCTGACCTCTGTCTAAACTGGAATAGCCCACTCCACAGTCTACATGCCATCAAATATCTTCCTTCCTACAGACCATCAACATTGGCTCACCATGATTACAGAGCGCTATAAGGAAGCCTGTTTTTAAAAGATTTTAGGCAGTAAAAACCATGACTTCAGAAATAGGGAAAGCAGTGAGGTTGCAGTGTCTGCTTTGGCATTTGTTGTAGGTACAGTTTCAAGATACTTCTGCCATTATCCCCTCATTCAACCATTACCAAAACACAGTGTTGTGCATCAGTAGTTAACAATCATTGAATCTCAGTGACAGTCCCTGGGAGGGAAATGCTATCAGGGAAGTCAGGGAGCCCTGCATGCACCTCTGAAATGTAGTCCTCCTTCTCTAAGTAATAAAAATAGTCTGTTCCATGTACTGTGGCAAATCTCCAAGCACCACGCAGGGCTGAACTTTAGATGAAGTTGGCATATTTGAAACAGCCAGCCTAAGTTAGTCTCATTGTTTGGATCAACCGTCTCTAAACAGACCTTAGAAATAACCATTCAATTTCTCGTTTAATATCTTCATTTTTAATTGGCTTGTTGCATTCTTTATATGCATTGAAATTCTAGTACACTAGCTCCTGTGGGAAAATAGTACTCAGCAATTTGAATTTGTTAGCTGCTGTGAACATAGGGGACTTGATTTTCATTTATGTTACAGTCACTTTATATTGCTCAGGCAGTAAATTGCATTTACACCCAGTAAATGAGCAACCGGAGTAGTGTAAAGTAACTTTAGCATGAATGAGAATTAGGCCCAGAGCCTTCCTAAGTTTTTATAGCAACTCTGTTATTCATCTCAATTGGTGAGATAGGGATTGATTGACAAACAAATAGCAACACAGTATTGCCTAGTTTGGAAGGAGAATTGAGCCAGGGATTAGAAAACCCCAATTCAGCAAAGGAAATCAGACTGGCTATTAAAAGCTTGAAGTCCAACAAAGCACTAAGGCCAGATGGTTTCAGCATACATTTTTACAATCAGCTAAGTATAAAAGATGAAATAGCTCCCCTGCTGGTTAAAGTATTTCAAAATTATTTACAGATGGGAATTAATGTTAATGAGTCGTGTAGCTAACTCCCTACATACCATGCTGAAAATTTACCACCCTCAAGTTTAGTCCCAGCCAATGCACCAGAAAGTTTCATCATTTGAAAATAAAAATAGATTTTCCTTGTTTTACCACATATAACTAACCATTTCAGTTTCATCTAAGAGGCTTAAAGAGGAGTAGGATAATGCGGGACAGAGCTAGTACCAGAAATGTCCTCAACGTGAAGATTATTTTAATTGTAAATTCCCATGGCTGGAAGATTTACTCATAAACTATAACATACAATACGAGTGGGCCATGGAGAGGATTGATGTTAAAGACATGTGCAAGAGCAGTTGAGGGAAAGAGGGAGCTCTCTCTCTGGGTGTGTGACTCAGAGCCCTGTTAGGTCAAAATGCAGATTTCACCATTTGATGCTCCCGTGGGGGAGCATCAAATGGTGAAATCTTCATTTTGACCTAACACAGCTCTTTTATCACTCACATGATAAAAGTGCTAATGGGCCACCTAACTGCATGTGTCCGTGGAACACTGAGAATATTCTGCTCTTGTTACGTGAATGTATGTGTTTGTTGTTTGCACAGACACAATTTATTAGCCCTAACTCAAACAAAAATTTATAATAAACAATAAAGAAAACAGAAAATTCCCCCACTTTTAGTCAGCTTATATTAATGCAGATTTTCTCCTGTGTACAAATTTAAAGTCAAGCTTTTGCCTAACTAAGTGGCACAGGTGAAGTAGACTGGAATCTGAATAAGCAGTTTCAGATTTCTCTCCTCTCCACAGATAAAATCTCCCTAATCATTGCACTCCCTTAACAGATTAATTTCTCTGAGGTACAGCTAGCTTACTGTTTGATCTCTCTTCTCTCATTAAAAAGCAAACAATTTAAAAATACTCCTTGATCAAGGTCCTTTCAATTACTCATTTTACAAATAGGGGTAATCCAAAATGAATGAGACCAAGAATAAATTTCTACTATTAGTCAAATATAATTACAGCCAGACAAATGATACTTTTTAATTTTAAGATTGCATTCAGGATCTGGGCTAGCATGGCAGGTTAATACAGCACTCAACTTTCAGATTTTCATTTCAGTTTGACTTTAATTACATTTCTTTGGTCTGTAATAACAACTGACTAACCATTCCTGTATACTAAGAAACTACTATC